TATGTTACAGTTTAAGTGCGCCTTAAAACTATTCATTTCAGTTATGTTAGAAATTATATTTATGTTAGAAAATTATTTATTATTATATTATTAGGCTTGGTGGACTGATACCAGACATATGTACCTAGTTGTTTCTTTGGTAATGTGCATGTATTGAAAACATACAAGAACAAAACTGTTCTTTGATTAAATTTCTAATTCCAATTAAAGATAATACGAGCACTAGGGCGCGTTTTACCCAAATTCTTACGGAGATCTCCAAATGCACTATTTCTAACATACATAAATAGATTCATTGACAAATTGACAAAAAGTTGTCGATAATATCAGAGATCCCACAGCAAGCGTATCAAATGGCTCAGGCGACGCTTCTACTAAACGAACATTTCTTTATGGAAAGGACGAGAAGGAGACTTATATTTAGTACAACTGCAGCTATGGCATACTGGCAAAAAGTTATTGTATTTATTTTTTCAATGAAATATCGCTCACAGTGCTCCATTACTCCATTTTAATTCTAATTTTCTGAGCAAACTGAGGTCAGAGACATCACTGCAGCAGAGGATAATTTTGTTGACAGTGTGTAAAATGCGCTACCTCGAATACACACATACATTTATGTATTTATGTATGTATGTATGTACATAAATATGTATGAATTGCATATCTGCTTAGTTTTTAATTTATTTGACTTTGCTACTTCATATTTTTGTTTATTTTCTCTTTTCAACGATGCAACCAAATAAAAACTGTCGTCAACTAACCACCAGCGGCCAGCCAGCAAAAAATCGTTCAACCAAGTAAACCGGATCCTATGGCAGAACAAAGTTCCACTGAGTTATTACAATGTAGTATGTACTCGTACGGAGAGATTAGCTTATTCAACTAACTGGGTAAGTAGGCAGCAGGCGTGAGACGGCAAGCGGAAAGTTGGACTGGGCTGTACGAGCGAGCAACATTGGCAAATTGCCCGCTGGCAATGTTGTCAACACATCACAGCGAATTGGAATTGCCAAAAATGAATTTAATGCAGATTTCTGAGAATCAGCAAGAACACGTAAAGAGAAGAATACTTGCTATTCATTAGGGAGGTGCTCATTTGTCTCGAAAAAAAATTGATTAACAACAAGTACATATTTTTAAACTCAGTATAAATAACATCTAAAATTAAACCGTCTTTTATTATTTTGAACAAGAAAAACCGATAATTTTTGCTTTTTATATTTTAGGGCAAAAACTGTAAATATCAACAAAGTTTTTCTGATTATTTCATGTGCAAAAAATGTGTAACTGTAAATTTTGTGATATTTCTCTTCTGATATTCAGATAATTCTATTGTGATAATTTTTCGTGACTTCCCATTTCTTTCATGTTTCACTTTACGCAATTCTTCGGGAGGATTTTTTTTGGAATATTCTCGGCATTTTTATGTATTTTCTTGTGCCTTTTCGGAATAAATTATATACAATTCTTATTTTTTTTTTATTTATCGGAAGTTTTGGATTTTTTTCGGAATCTTTTCAGTATTTTAGGAACTATGCGGCACTTTTCGTAATTTTTTCCGGACCATTCCGCATTCCCCATGTTTTTTGCTTTTCGGGATTTTCCGCAAAAATTTTGGATTTTTATTGGGATGCTTCGTATTTTATGTTTTAGACATATTTAGGAGTTTACGAAAATATTTTAGGATTTTTGTGATTTTCAGATCTTTTTTTCACGATACTTCGGGTTTTCTTTTTCAGAGAGTTCGAGATTTTTTTGATATATTTTCGAAATCTTAAGCACTTTGGGACTTTTCAGAATTTTTTTCGGAAATTTTCGTGAACTGAATTTTTTCGGTACCTTTCATGGTACTTCGGAAATAGTGGAAATTTACCGCAATTCATCTGATTTTTTTCTATTCTGGATTTTTTTGGTAATTCTGGAATACTTCGTTTATATTTTTCTACGTTTTTCCTGGCTTGTGGGGTTTTACGTCACTGTGATGTTTTCTCTTTGGGAACTTCTTTACTTTTCTCAATTTTTCGAGATATTTTGCATTATAATTTTCCTTGTGTTTCGGAATTTTTTTAAGATTTTTTTTTGGGATTTTCGAGAACTTTCAGGTTGCCAAATATATTTAAATTTGCCTTTTAGAACTTTCTAACACTAAAAAGTAAAATTGCAATTAAATATCTACATATTCCAAAAAAATTCAATATTTTTCCTTGCTGAAAATAACGAAAGCAAAAATTAACTAACAATTTTTTAGTTTTTCATTATAAAATGCATATCGAGTACGATCTCCGGAAGTACTTTTAACATCACAATAACACAATTTGCTTCGAATATTTTTTGTTGCATACTTCTGGGCTCATTAACGGTTCCTGGAGCAACTGAGTGAACACAACGATGATTGAAGCGCAACGTGCTAACGGCCTCATGCATGAAAATTGAGCTTAACTCCGGCTCGGTTCTCAATACTTTTTACACATGAGGCCCATTCATTGCCTTGAGTTATTTTACATTTATTACATTTTCTTATTTTGTATCTTCAAAATAGTAGAACAAGGACATTCCTAATATTTATAAGCATAAGCCTTGAAATTTTGTGCATCGGTGTATATTAGTGTCGTTGTGCTATATTACGGTGCCCAATTGGTGGTCTGCTGGTGAAGTCAGTGCGGAACCGATATTATTGTTGAACAACCAGTGACATTGTCAGCCTGCGGACACACATGCATACATCCTTGAACACACAAGAAAAGCCTGGCAACGACACAGCCAAACAAGCTGAAAGGGTAAATTCGTGTACAGTCCATTTAGCAGTGTACCTAATTTAAATTTGTTTTATACTTGAAACTCAAATTCAGCAAAAGAAACGCCGGACAAAGCTCCAAAAATACAATAACATATTTACATACTATATAATTTTCAATTCCAACTATTTAAGCTTTTCAGATTTTTCGCTTTTCCGCATCACTTAAGCAACTAATGCAGTTTTTCATTAAACAAAAATTATTACCAAATTTATTAACTTGCAAATCTGTCAGCACGCCAAGCGGTGATTTGAAATTATGCCAGTGAAATGGCATGGAATATGAGCACTGTTCCAAGTAACTCGCAGCAGAAGAGTCAGTCAACAACCAGCGTTCATTGCCAAGCGCATTTATTCAAATTAAGAGCGAAATTTTAAAATTTAAGAAATCCACTGCAGAAGAGCAGCCGCACATTTGACTTCGCCAAACAGCAAGGCACTCACTCTGCCTTCCCTCCCTACTTCTTCATACCCGATGGAATGCTGAAAACTTGTGGTGTCTCGAAATTATGTATGTTTGCAAACACCTCCTGCATGTTTCTGCAGATATTTGCACCTACCAACCAGCTGTCGGCAAAGTCATGTAGGCCGATATCGAGAGGCCGGCCGCATTAAAATTCTGTGTAGCCGAACATGCAAGGTTTGGCCTTTGCCATGTAAATTTTTTCTTACTGCCGTTTTTACCAATGAGTTGCTTTCTGCATAACAACAACAACAGCTGGGCAATGCGGGAAATCGCAAGGCTAGGCTAGGCATGTGGCCGACCGACAACAGCAGTAGGAGGTATGTTTGTATGTATGTATGTATAAATGTAACAAAACTTGTTCGCACGCACGCTAGGTAGCAAGCAGCGTGTGCGTGTTTTCCATAACTGTGCAACGGTTGTTTTCTGGTGTCGCTCATGCTGAAGGAAGTAAGAAACTGTGCTCTTATGAATTACATTGCGAGGAAGGAAGGAAGGAAAGAAGAGAGGAAGTTGGCAGCAGGGCGCATCTTTTAAAGTCGTTTGAATTCCTACTAATTTAAAGCACAATTTAAAGTCAGTTTCAATAAATTAAAGTAACCGGTACATAAAGACCGCACATGGATCCACATGGATCAAAATACTCGGTGCAATGTAGGATAATAATAAGGGTATCATATAAAAGAAAAAATTCTTTAGAATTATAACAGAATAAATTTTTTGATGCATAGCGACAAGAGTGTATGGAAAATGTCCTTGCAAATTTTGTTCTTAAATGTCCTTGAAAATTTCCAATATTTTTTTTTTTGAAAAAAGATTGTTTGAGGATTAATACACGCACGACCTCATCTTCGAATTTCATCCTATAAACTGTATTAACTTAAAAAGATAAAATTTATTAAAAGCGCATTTTCAATACCTATTCGTCCTTGTAAAACCAAAAACTTGATTGCTTTTAAATTCTACAGCATATTCTCTCTAATTTGGTACCCATGTTGTTTTTCTAAATTGCACTGATTTTTTAAAATAATTTTTTGAATAAATCATATCTTTAAAATTGCAAAGTTCTTTGAAAAAAATCCTGACTTCAGAGTGAAAAATTAAAAACGCCCATTGTTTTGTGACTATATCGATTCTTTCGTGTGTCTTGAAATTTTTTGTTTTTGTCGCACGGTGAAATATCCACGAAATTTCAAAGTTTACCGTTGTTTAAAAATATTTTATTTTTTTTAAATTGCAAAAATTTGGCCAAACTTTGACTTAAAATCTGATAAATTTGAAATTTTATTGAAACTTCCACATTTAAATTCATAATCTCGCCGCGTTATACATATATAACTGGTCAAAGTAAAAATTCTGTTGAATTTTTGCGATTTAAAAAAATATATTTTTTTTTAACATTTTGAAATTTTTGTCTATGTCTTTATTTTGTACACTTTTGTATGTATGCATATATATTTTACGTTGACATATTAAAAAATATCTCATATTTGTGGGCCTCTTAAAATATTTTTAATATTTTCAGCCATCGCTTCGATAATCGCGGAATAAACAACTTTAAATATTTAACAGCAATTTCGACAAATGCCCGCGGATATTTAAATATTTTAGCATGCTCGCAAGATATTTATGTATTTATGTATGCAATAAATCAGTATTTGCATTGCATACACAACTACACAACTAATCAACCTCAATAGATTGTTATTGTTATTTGTAATAATTATTATAGACATTTACCTGCTGCATATTTCGCCATTGTAAATTAGCATCGTATTCGATGTCATTGTGCCCCATATCGTTGCCAAATAGACCATCGCTAATGTGAATGTCGTCTTCCGGCTGGGCGGGCGTTTCAGTGCCATAGAAAATCAAGTCCCATTGTGTGATTTGCGCTACAAAGGGAACAATAATAATAATGTGGAAAATATGTAAATACAAAGCGATAATATTACAAAACAATGGCGGATATTTAAAAGAAAAAGTTAAAGGCAAATGCTCAACTAAATTGGTAAGTGCTAAGGTAAAAATAAAAAGTACGATATGCATGTTTGTTAGGGTGGTCCACAAATACACAGGAAAATAAGATGTTTGTAATTTTCTTGCTGCCACCCACAAGAAATATAACAAATAGAAAATAAATCGGTTATCTTATATTTAACAGTGCCGCCGACGCTTTGAAGTTTTCCATATACATTGTATGTGGAAAATAGAGGTTGTCTTAAAATTTTGTTAAAAATTAATATTTTTTGATCTAATAAAAATATTTCCCTTCATAAATCTTCCAAAAATTGAGTTATGATGCGAATTTAACTCGTAGTGTGATTGCAAATACATAAAATAACTATTTTTTGTATAAAAGAGATGGGCCATTTGGGCGTTTTGACTGGTGGGATATTTTACTCCAGGATGTGACCAACTGTGAATTATAAATATGTCATCGGAACGATGGTTTTGTGTCATAAAATATGAACTATACCTTTTTGTTTTCAATAAAAATTAGGTTTATATAACACCGTGCAGCAGTAAATTTTACACGCAAAAAATTTTATATATTCGCGAAACCATGGGCCGCATATAGTAAAACTGCGTTTTTAGTTTTTCTCTCTAACGTTGAAGAACTTTGAAATTTTTGAAATATCATTACTTCAAAAAATTATTCCAAAATTTCAGTGCAATGTAGAAAAACAGTATGGCTATCAAATTAAAAAGAAAATTCTGTAGAATTAAGGCCGATTGAATTTTTTGCTGCATAAGAAAGATTCGGTATGGAAAGAGTTATCTTCACATTTTATCATTGAATGTACTTGAAATTTTACAATAATTGTTTTCGAAAAAATTATATGTTAAGGACTAATCGACACATCCTCGAATTTCGTTCATCTAACTTTATTCGCTTAAAATATAAAACTCATTAAAAGGACATTTTTAATACCTATTCGTCCTTGTGAACCAAACAATTTTAATTTTCTCTTTCACTTGGTGCCAATATTACTTTTCTACGTTGAAATGATTTTTTAAAATAATTTTTTCGAATTAATATCTTTAAAAGAAGACCTAAAGTCAGAGAGAAAAACTAAAAACGCAATTTTACTATATTTGGCCCACAGTTTCGGGAGTATATTGATTGCTTCATGTGTTTCGAAATCTTTTTGTTTTTATCGCACGGTGTAATCTTTAAATTTATGTCGATTTCCTCTTTTACATGGAATGACCCAGATGAGATTATCGGTTATGAAAAAGTAGTTAATAAAATGCTAAAGTTAAGTGCGCATCATAATTGTATTGTTTGAAGACTTCTGAAGGGAAATATTTTTATCTGGCAAAAAAATAGTTATTTTTAACGACTTTATATCAATTATACTTAAAAATGTATTTCGCCATATGAAATATATGGAAAACTCCAAAGTCTAGCCGATTACCAAAAAAAAAAAAACAGGTCTTCTTATATTCGATGTTCTTCAGTTCTAGGGGTGCTTTGAAAAAAAAAAATATTTTGGACCAGCCTAATGTATTTACAAATGTATAAAAGTACGAATATTTATGTATACATAAATGAATATGAAAGGATTGCACAAAAACATATATTTCGAGGAGAAAAATAAAGAGAGAGATATAAAATTGATAAAAAAAATTTAGAGAGAAGTGAACTTTATTCTTACAACTGAAACTTCTTTAAATCGGCATTTGTGCAACATAAACAGTTGTTGTTCTAGATAAAAAAACAAAAGTTGTATGCATGTAGTAGTTAGCTACTTTACAAATTGCAAGTCTAGTTAGTAACAACTATTTGCTCTTAATGCTTGCCAATCTCTTGAGCAGCTTTAGAATTTATCATGCAATGGAAAATGAACAAAAATAGAAATACATAAATAATGAAAGAAAAACAGAAATTGGAAAATAGAAATATTTGCAAATTTACTCTATTCTTAACTACAGTTTATCTAAGGAACAATAACAGGCAATACTGAAATTGATATGCAGCAGAGGTGGGCTGAATGCAACGACGGCATGCCTACCAGGCTATAGCTGCCAGAGAAACTAACTGTAGCCAACGGGTAATACATTTTTTAAATGTATGTATGTGAGTTCCAAAATTTATGATTAAACATAAATTAAGAGCGGCAATAGCAATGGCTCTATTTGGACGGGTAGATACTTTAATGTGGTGTAACTTATGTACTGTACATATGTACATATAAGAGCAACAACTAAATACAATTGCAGAATAATTTCCCAAAAAAAATCAGGTAAGCATAAGTTTTTTTTCGGGTTTCTTTACACCCAACGAACTGCATATAAACTGGAAAAAGCAAAAAAAAAAAAATTATGAAATCACAAACTGAAAAATCCAACAGAAGCAGCTGCTTCTTCTATCTACATATATTCAATGCCAATATCGGCGAGTAGTTTGATTGATTGCGTTTGAACGCATGCTGCGCGGGCGCAAAATTGGCCGGCCGGCTTGTCTGACGGGGAAGATCCAGCTACCAGCCATCACTACGTTTAAGAATGGACGCAGCTAGAGTGGAGCAAAAAAAAAAAAAATAAACGTATAGATCTCCGTTACAACGCAACGCTTTGATTGATAGCCAAGCACACATGCTCGGACGTGGTGGTGTCAGTCACCAGTGCCAGTGTGGATATGGCTACTGATTGCTCGGATTGCTATGATTTTGCCGGTGTTTTTTTTTTTTTTTTTGCTGGCCAAGCGCGCGTATTTCATTTGCATACCTATTGCGGGTGAGTGTGTGAGGCAGCGGAAATGCCTGGCAGTGCGCTTAAATCACTGCAGTTGGGGATTTCCAAAGTGAGAAGTGACTTTTATGGCACTTTAATTGAGCTCAATTCACATCCTGAGAGAGAGCAAGAGAGAGAGAGAGGGAAGCGAGAAAATATGCGTTGAAGCATAAATCAAATATTAAATGATGCAGTGATTTTTGAATTAGGCCAAACAGTTGGTTCCATCCATTAAGGATTAGTGGATAGGAGGAATGCCAGCCAAAGAATAAAAAAAGGAAGACCAGCTTTAGGATAGTTTGGACTATGCTACTTAAGAAAAGGTTAGCTAAGGTACAGTTTAGCTGGGAATGTTTAGGCTAGACGGTAGTCAAGGAGGTAGGCGATCTTACGAGGAATCAACAATATACCCCAGTTACCCTGAAACCAGTTTAAAAACAAAGAGATGTTTCTACATAGATCTCGAATCACTTGAGGTCAGAGTTCCCATCGCAGAGATAGTTGCGGCGAATGTTTGTCACACCTTAAGAATTCTACACTAATCAAACCATTGAGAGAAGAGAGCGAAAAGTCCATGAGACATCCGGTTTCGACCGAAAGTGGTTTAAACTGATCGAAATTAAACTTTTTAAAAGGGAAATATATACATATATTTTTTTTTACTACAGATTCGGATCCTGTGAACAAAAATACATAACTTTTGTCGGAAACCTTTTTAGTAATGGACTTCCGCTTAAAGTAATGCACATCCGGACCTATATCAATATATTTTGAATATATTTTCAGTTGAGATAGGGCGTTTTTGGACAAAATTCTAAAGTAGGGCGTTCATGAGCCATTTTCGGAGATGTGACGTTTTCGAACCGACGGCCGAAATAGGTCAATCTTCAACTCAACCGCCAATATCAGGTTTTTGGGGCCTCAACAATAAAAATACGACTTTAAAAACAATAAAAGCCCTCGGAGAAAACAGTAAAGCGGCTGAGTTGTTAACAGTCGGCGGCAAGGAGCTGGTAGGGCGTAAGCATTAGCTCTTAGGTGTAACAATGAATAAATTTCCGAAGACTGGAATCTCAGTGCGCTCCAATCCTTGGCCCTCATGCGTATTAAGTTCAATCGACGCTACTGTTCGAGAGGTTTGAGTCTTCGTCAACCAACTAATTGGACTTTATTGAAATCATCTAACAGTTTTCACGTAATTATAATACAACAAATACAACGTGTGATGGTGGTGGGAGAATGGTAGCAATTATCGCAGGACTCTGTACAGTCGAGCATTTACGATACTATTGACTTCATTGCCGTCGTTTATAATAATAGTAATACTTGGCAAAATGAATTGAAAAGTGAGTGCATCGAATAAAAACGATTATCTTATCTTAAAAATAAAACACTTTGAATTTCGAAAAAAATAAAAAATAAAATACACATTACTCAGCATTGCACTACAAAATATGAGAATCGCAAAAGAAAAACTCGCAGTAAAACAAAAAAGGTTATGCATTCCGTAAAATCATGCCTATACCGTTGCTTGCGCTGCCCTTACGATTGGGCAACACGCCGAGCACACCGCCAATCGGACGCTGTGTGCCGCCGCTCAAACCCGCTGCCGCGAGCAGCAGTTGTTGTTTCTTGATAATCTTCTGATCGGGCACAAAGCTGGGCGAAGACTTCTTGGCATTCTCACGCGACGGTTTCGAACCACTTCCGCTCGCTCCATTAGCGTTGCCATTTTCCCCGCTACTGCCACTCATCGCACCCAACATCGGCCTGAAGGTTTCCGCTTCGTAGTCCAGCGGTGAAATGCCGGCTGCAGCGGCAGCCAATTTTCGCTTCTCAGCCGCTACAGCTGCTGCTGCTGCCGCTGCGGCGGCAGTGGTATCCTTCTCTTTGGGCCCCTGATATGGCTGAAATTCCGGAAAGATTGCCTGTATTTTCTCGTAATGTTCAAAGAGTTTCGGTATGCGCGTGTCGGCGAAGGATGCGACTGTAAGCTTTTCATGTGTTTGCATAGGCAGCAGCGACTCTTTGATTTGTTTGGTCGCCTTGACGGGCAACTTCGAGTAGCTGGTCATTTGCGTGGCGACGGTTTTCGAAGCGGTCGAGATCGCGCCTGCAGACGCACTCGCGGAGTCAGCTTTGAGCGCAGTTTTACTGTTGCTATTCGCTTTGATGTTTTGGTTGTTGTGGTTTTTTGTATTCACGCTTGTACTGGTCGTGGTTGTTGTTGTTATTTCGCCAATAACTTTGCGGCTCAGCTTTTCATCGTAGCCCTGTAAACGCTCGCCTGACTGCGCTTTACTGCGTCCTCCTCCCTGTTTTGAGGACTTTTCGCCATTCGACTTGCTATTTCCGTTCCCGCCGCCGCCGCCGCCGCCGCCGCCGCCGCCCTGTTGCTGTTGTTGTGATATGCGGTAGAATTTATTCTTCGTATTTGTTGCAGTAGTCTGTTCCTTCTTGTTGGCTGACGATTTGCTGCCGCCACCGCCGCCATTTCCGCCTCCTTTGCCGTTACCCTTCTCACCAGACTTCCCCTTTCCTTTGCCGCCCTTGCCAGCCTTCCCGCTCTGCGAACCCAATATGACGCCATAGGTCGCTGAGATTTGTTGATAACTGGGCGGCTGTGTCTGCTGTTGTTGTAGTTTGTAGAGTTGTTGTTGTTGTTGTTGCTGTTGCTTTTTACTACTTCCGTTAGCGACATTCAACAATGGATTATTTGCGCCATTCACGGCCGTGTAAACGGATTTGTTGAACGGCGTTGGCAATTTAATGGGAATTTTCACGCCCGCTCCCGGCATGGCGTTGATGGCGCCCACAACACTGGTCGCCGAATTGCTGAAGCTGCCGCCGCCGCCGCCGCCGCCGCCACCAACATTATTGGATGAAATGCGCGGATATTGTGGCGAGTAGATCTGATGGAGGTTCGTTGTGGTGCTCGCCGCATTCGAATTGGGCGTTGTGTTTTCGGCGGAATAGGCGCGCGGTGTGGACACTGGGTCATTGGGGTCGATAGGCTGTGTGGTACCGTAAAATATTAGCGACCACTCGCGGAGTAAGGCGTGACCTTTTATGGTTTCCGGGTTGCCGGGTGGTTGGTTGGAACAATTGGGTTCAATTGTCGTTTGTGAGTAGTGTTAGTGATTGACAATTACACGGTTGCATGATTACAGTTATATATATATGTATGCGTTTTAAATTTGAGGTTATGTTAAAGAAAATAGTTTTCAGTTAGATTTTTGTTTTGTTTGGTTTGATTTGTTACAGAATTTAATTGTATAAATTTATATTGCCAAATTGTCAATAAGGCGCAGCATGTAAGTATATAAGTTTAGAAAAAGAAGTGGTTAAATACATTCAGAAAATTTCAGAGTTTATTTGAAGCAGTTAAAATTGGCGAGATTTTAGTAAAATTTGTATAAGAAAAAAAATTTCATTCGCCTTCCTCACTTACCCATATAACGACCTTCGTTGTGAATTTCCAACTGCCAATCGCCATGCGGTGACTCTCCCCAAGTATGGACGGACATGAAGGGCCACTGGTTAAAACCAGAACGTGATACATCGTGAATACTGAAAAATAAAGGAAGTAAGAGTTATTTTCGTTAGAAAACCACATAACTCATGAGCTATAAAAGAGTTAAATGGCGAGAAATTAAATAAAATATCTTTCTCTCAGCTTTGAGTTGGGGTTAGTTTATAGTTGAATACTAAGTTTTCGAATGACTGTGAATGAAGTTGTTGTTGTCGTTGAAAGATTATAACAATTTCACTTGATTTTTTTTTTTGAAATGCTGCTGGAGTGACCAAATATAAATCTGGGTCGATGCAGTTATGCCGACTCAACTGCCGTGGGAACGATTGGGGACACAGGATTGTGAATGATCTGCTGGAAGGTGGGATAGCCTTCAACTGGAATATTTTAAAAGTATCAAAACAATACGTAAAGTATCTAGAAAACAACTAAGGTGAAGTGAGTTGAAAGTGATGAACCTTAGTAGAGGATATAGTAAAGAAAAAAAAAATTTGTACCATCTTTCCGCAGGTTCCATTAGAATCCTCCCTCACTACAAAATACGATTCCTCATGAATTAAGAAAATGCATTTTTATATTATTTTTAGCAAGAAAAATCGACTTAATTTAAAAATTTATTTGAGGAAAAATAAAGCCAAAGTTTGGGGAAAAAAAATGACAGTAATTTTAGTTTTTGATTTTTTAGAAATTTTTCAAGTACCGAAACTTAAGTTAAGTTCCCGAAACTTAAGAATTTCTATGACTTTTCGGGACAGTTTGAGTTTTTTATGTAATTTTTCTGTATTGTTTTGGGACTTTTTTGTTTTTTTTTTCGCGAAATAACGGATTTTTTATTTTAATCTCGGGATTTATCTTCATTTGTTAAAACCTTAAGAATTTTTTTGCACTTTCTGGATTTTGCAATATTCTTTTTATAACTTTTCTGAATTTTTAAAATTTTGTATCTTTCCGGGATTTATATGGATTCATCGCGAACTTTAAGATTTTTTGGAACTATCTGACATTTTCGGGACTTTTTGGATTTTTCGGGACCTCTCAGTATTTTAAGAAATTGGTGTTCTACTTTTCGGAAACTCCAAGAAATTTTGAGAACATTTTGCGGTTTTTGGGACTCCTCCGAACTTTTTCGAAAATTTTCTAGATATTTCCGGGACTCTTCTGTTTCGGTATTTTTTTTAAAACTTGTCGGGATTTTTCTTTATTTTACAAAAATTGTTGGATTTTTTTTTTAGATTTTTCGGTATTTCTTTGAAAACTTTTGGAAATTTTCTGTGGGTTTTTTGAAGACATTTTAGATCTTTTCGGAGCTTTGATATATTTATGCAGAACTTAGAGGTTTTTTTGGAACTATTTGAGATTTTCCGGAATATTTTCGGATTTTTTTTTTTTTAATTATTGGGACTTATCGAGATTTTTCGGATTTTATTTGATATTTTGTTTGGGTTTTTTCGGGAGTCCCTGGAATCTGTTAGGATTTTTGGCATTTTAGTAAATTATTATTTACGATTTTTCGGGATTTCTTTGAAATCTTTTGAAACTTCTCTGGATTTTTCGAAAACATTTTAGACCTTTTCATAACTTTTATGGATTTATCCAGAACTTTAGAGTTTTTGGGACTATTTGCGATTTATCGGAGATTTTTGGGACTTTTCAAGTATTGTTTGCACGTTCTCGGGACTTATCTGGATTTTTTCGGGTTTCTTGGGAATTGATCAGATTTTTCTGCATTTTTCGGAAACTAATGGAATTTTTCGTGACCCTCTTCCTTTATTTTTTCCTCTTTTCAGGAAGCTTTGGGTTTTGAAACTTTTCTGAGTTTCCCAGATTCTTTTTTAAACATTCTTAAAATTGTTGGACAACTTTTTAAATATTTTCGGGGCTTTTCTGGATCCTTTCTTTTGAAATGACTTGAAATTTTCGGGTATTTTTTAATTATTTTTAGGACATCTCTATTCCAATTGTTTCTGGAATTTTCGGGAACTCTTTGATTTTTTCGGGGCACCGATTGGTATCGACTGAAAACGCTTGCATCACGGGACGCTGATCAACGAATTGATCCGCTGTGCTTTTGAGCGCCGTGGGGTTCGGTTCCGCCGTCTTCAGCATGTATCCACGTAAAACACCGACAGGCGCTCGTTTGACCGACAGACGCTCGTTTGACCCAACACACAGAGTATAAAAAGCTCGTTTACCAACATAATTTAGCCGAGATTTGTTCTCGCAAGTGCAGCTTGGATGCCACTGCCGATAGGTAAAATCCAGCTTCTCCACATCTCGCCCGAACCACTTTCGTTTTTAGAAGAGTTCTGCTTGGCCTATACATTTGTATCTCATGAACCCGTTGAGATATCAAAATGCTAAGGACTATAATTGTAAAACACCCGTTTTTTTTTAGTTTCTTTTATAGAGACAGCACTTTCAAGACTACACTTTGTGGAAAGTTTCGTTTTATTTTCAATAGGAAAATCGATTTTCACCCGGGATTTTTTCGATAAAACAAAATCTCATAGAAAAAATAATCATTAAAAATACTGTGAAATTAAAGGGAATTTTTGTGAATAAATCAAAACTGCTGTCTGCTCGAAAAATACAATACAAAAGCGCAATTAAAAGATAATCGCCATATAAATTGCAAATAAGAGAAAAAATTTTTGAGAATAAAATCTTTAGGGGAAAAATCAAATTAAACGTATAAAAACGTTCACAGTTTAAAATTAGTATTATGTCTACCAGAGGCCATCAGCAACAACAGATACAGCAACAAAAACAGCAGCAGCAGCAGCAGCAAAGCTACCGCCACCCAAGCACCGACACAACAGCCAGTCGAAGTGGACACAGCGGTGCTGCTGGGAGGCCTCCGGCGAATACAGCACCCTCTGGCACAATCACCACCACCATGACGACGTCGGCGGCGACAAGGGCGCCGCCGCCAGTGACCGAACAAATTGCTAATCTGCTCAATTTGGCGCAAAATTTGCTGTACAGCGTGCGAGAGCAACAACAATTGACACAACAGCAAAGACAGCGACAACGTCATTACCGCCCACAGGCGACGACCACACCATACCAACGCCCGACGGGCAGTGCTAACTTTGCCCCTGAAAATCGGAGTGCAAATAGAAATTCCAATACGAATGACAGTGGTGCCAGCAGTACTAGTGGAAATGGCGGCGCCGGCGGCAGTCGAGTAATTACGATTAGCAGCACGAACACCGCTGACGGACTACAATCGGATGAGACACAATTTTGCAACTGTTTCGAGTGTTTGGCGCATAAATTACGCAGAGGAATTATCAGTATAGCAGCAACAGCGTCGTCCTCCTCCTCCTCCTCCTCCTCGAATGGAGTTGCCGGCAATGAGGTAGCAACAACTGCCGCGAATTATATGCAACGACAGTACATTGGCAACCATAACAACAGTAGCGGAGTTCACCAACACCGCGAAGACAGACGCAAGCATCGGCATCGCCATCACCATCGCCATCACAGAAGCAGCAGCAGCAACAATGCTGACAGTGATAGTATACATTTTCAATGTTCAATTTGTTTGGATTCCTATAGGTTTCGTCGGCCGACGGCCACTCAGTGCGGACATATATTTTGTAGGCATTGTATAATGAAGTGTGTCAGCTGCCAGGGCAAGTGTCCCATGTGCAATTGCAAATTGAATTCCAGCAATGTATTCCGCGTGTACTTTTGAGCAGATCTTTTGTTGTTGCGAGCAAGTGAATTTGGATTGTTGGTCGAAAGGACTTGTAATGAAATTTTGTATTTTCGAAATTTCTCGTTTATATTTTTTTTTTCTACAAATCTACTGATGTATGTACATTCTTATATCCATAAATGCGTATTTTCTAATACGTATGGCTGCTATTTTTTGGCGTAATAGATTTTCTTTTGTATGCATTTTTTTGATAGTTTTGTTACCTTTGTGCCATTATTAGATTGTATTTTGTGTTGTTAGATGTATGTATGTACTTTGTTTTGCTATTTTTTTTTTAAATATACACAGCTTGCACTTGCATTGCAACTAAGGCTTTGTAGATTTACTAGGATTCTTACAATTTTTCTTTAAAATTTGTTTGTTTTCGTTACGTATTGTGAAACGATTTTCCGCCATCCCTTGTACTGTTAGGACAGGGCACAGTGCTGAATTGTCGCTGGCATGTCGTTAGTAGTGTGCCATTACAGTAGCCGTCTCATCAGCTACCTGCCCAGACTCGACCCTAATATTTCCAATGACTGTCCGGCTTGTGGAGACTCCCCACACGACTCCAAACACCTCCTCACATGCCAGCTCAAACCAATCAACTCACCCTTTGGTCCGACCCCGTCGAAACTGGAAAGTTCAGGGCGACTACTCTGTATTGCGATTCGAAACTCAATGCGATTCGAAAGCCGACACGGACAAATACACATTCATAGTGCCAAGTATTCGAATCCCAATGATTTGCTTTTCGAACCGCAATACAGAGTAGAGCCCAGGTGGTGAAGTACTTGCTTTATTAAGCATTACCAATTGGTGTCAAATGGAACAAAAACAGACGACTGGGCATTTCCAAGAATTAGGCCTTCGGTGCTCGGTTAGTAGCTCATTTGATGGGCTAGATGGCTCGAGTTTCAAGTCTTTCCGATTGGGCTTCTGGCATAAAATAAAAACTCAAACTTCACTCGACTTGGAATGCTTTATTGAAAAAGCCCCGTTTGAAAGTATTTATTTTGAAGCGCTTTTATATTTACTGGCCGAAAGGAGAACCCCACACCAGGTCTTTTACTCAAAGCTAAGTAAAGTGCTGAAAGCCTAATAAGCGACGGACGACTGAAGAGTCGCTTATGGAGTTCTGCTCTGAGTTCTTCTAAGTTAAGCAAAGCAACATCAGACGTGAACTATTCTTCTAAGTCTCAAGCTGCCTAGCCTCTCTTCCCCGCATGCTATGAAATCGGAAATTACAAAGAATTAGCTAAGAAATTTTCGACTTACCGTGGTGTGAGTAAAGTAACTTTGGTGCCTGCCGGTGACTTCAGATTAAGTTGAATGTCACCGCGACGTTGTGATGTGAGTGTGATTTTTGCCTGAACGTGTTCCAGATAATTGACGGATGAGCAGTGTTTTACGGTTAACTGTAATGTGATATAACTTCTGGGCGGAATAACTCTGTAATGTGTAAAGTTATTAAATGTTAAAAATCATATGAAGCCACCGATTAATGTCTTTAAGTCTCCTAAATATTTCCATCCTTCATTCACTTGCCATTCCAATACTTACTTATCCACATGCGGCGCATTGATCTCGCAACGCTGTTGTTCCGGCACCGTTTTCCAGTTACGCGCCGCTTTCACCATAGCCGCCGCATCCATCAGCCCATAGCCGAATGAGTGACTAATACGCCGACCGACACCATTCTTCGACCATGTCGGATCGCGTAAATTTGCCGGTTTCGCTGTACGCACCACAATGTGTTGCAAATCGCGCCACGTCAAATTCGTATTCGATTCGAGCACCAACGCCGCTATGCCGGCTGCCAGTGGCGCCGACGCCGAGGTACCCGTATGCGATACCGTGCACGAGTGATGCAAGTCTGTCGTCACCACCTGCTTCTCACTCTGTCCGCCACTACTGTAAGTGGTCGCCAATGTGGAACTGCATTTCTCCGAATACCAGGGTACGTGACCCTCTTCGGTGGCACTAGATATTGACAGTGTCCAAATGGAGTTCGTATACCCGTCACAGTTGCAATTGTCGAATTCACGACCACCATTGCCTGAAGCCCAAATAAAAATGCTACCCTTGCCCTGCCGTCCTTTCGTCACGCCTTCGATGAAGGCGCGTTGCGCCAACTCACCCGGCCCATCGACCGTTTTCCCATCGTCGTCGGGTCCCCAAGACGCACTGTAGATGTCTATGTGTTGCGGATTGAGCGATAGGGAACGCGCTTCGACGGCGTCCGTTACATCGCCATCCAACATTCGGACACCGCCAACACTGGCGCCAAATGCAATACCAACCGCACAGATTGAGTTATTGGCGGTGGCGGCCACTTCACCAGCGCAACGCGTACCATGACGATTCGAATCGGTCATGTCGTAGTGAGGCATTGGATCGTTGTCGTGGCTGTTGACGTCGTAAGACGCCTCGGGATCCTAAGCGGGTAAGGGAATTTTGGAGTTATAGGTTAAATAATAAAGTGTATTAATGAATGTGGAAATTAATCCCTACTTGGTTTTGTGCGAATTTAAGGGACTTACATAGTTGTGCTCGATATCGGGATGATCCGATTCCAGACCATCGTCGAGTATTGTCACCACAATACCCCTGCCGGTGATGCCCGCCTGCCATGCAGGTACCACATTCATATCCAAGCCGCCACCGCGATTCTGGTTACGAATTAAAATTAAAAAAGTGTGACGAGTAATTGTATAGTACATATCGATGGCTAGTGGAAGATCGACCTACCTCGGCAGCCAGTTCGAAAACGCCCTATTTCAGAAAAATTTTCAACCATCAGGGCATTCTCGAACCGAATTCTGAGATAGGGCATTCTTCGACCAATGCCTGAGATAGGGTGTTCTTCAATCAAATTATGAAGTAGGGCATTTTTGAAAAGTTTTCTAAGAGAGGGTGTTTTCAAACTGGCTGCCAAGATAGGTCGATCTTCCACTCAGGTGAGGATATGCAAATACATAGTGAGTGATATATGTATGTAAAAATATAGCATAAGTCTGTTCGCACTCTCTCGCTTGGCGTACTTACCAGATACCACATTTGCGCCCATTTCGGGTCGTTTAAAGGAACTATATCCACCTGTGAAAGCGCGCGCGACGATGTTCTCGACGGCCGCATTCGTATATAGTCACGTTTCCGACGCGATTTGGCCCGCTGCTGCTTGGCCCAGTGCACTCGATTGTCAACGTCAAGTCGCGTCTGATGCGGCACCGAGGGCATCAGCGAGCGCTTGGAGACTGTGTGATGCGCAAAATGATAGTGATCATCGAAGATCTGGAAATATTTAAAGGAAAAAAGAAGATTGTTAGTAATAGAAGCACTGTAGTGTTTTGGGCATGGATATTTTTTTAATAAAAAAAAATGGAAAAACTTGGCAATCAAATATCCAAAACACATTGGCGGCGAAGAGAAACGAAAATTCAAATTTTTTAGTAGAAAATAAAAAGCGAAAATGCCGAGCGTTTGGTATAATATTTTAGAGAAATTTCGACATTCACTGCGCAACGCAAAACAGCTCTCACGCCTGAAGGACTACTCTAAACTCAAGCTCTCCAGCCGTCTTTTGATACGACCCATCCCTGCAGATGCATTCAAATCCTATCTGGCGAAGATGGCTATCGCCATACTCTTCGGCCAATACAAACGTAAGTTCTTCACAAGAGCAAAATGCAATCACTAAGCGTATAACCTACCCTTACCTACCCAGAACCACGACGTCTAACTTGCACCGTGAAAGCAGAAAAACAAGCCAACGAACAAGCCACACAATCACCCAAATACGTGCAGAAGGAATCCAAGCACTGGTATCCTGATCCCGAATTCATGAAGCAATTTGAAGGTTGCATCATAGACGATAAAGCGCCACGTTTCGACCATTGGACAGGCCGAGTTCCCATACCAGTAGATCGCGCATTTCGCACAAAGTTTATCAACTTTGGCCCCGCGCATCCAGCTGCGCATGGTGTCTTGCGCATGGTGCTGCAGCTGGACAATGAGACTGTTCTATCGGCCGATCCACACATCGGACTACTGCACCGCGGCACAGAGAAGCTACTCGAATATAAAACGTACATACAAGGTCTGCCCTATTTCGATCGCCTGGACTATGTCTCCTGCATGTCCAACGAACTGTGCTATTGCTTGGCCATCGAGAAGCTGTTGGGTTTGCAGGTGCCGCGGCGCGCAAAGTACATACGCACGATGTTTTCGGAAATTATGCGGCTCACCAATCACACGGTCGCCTGCTCCACAGCTGTGCTGGATTGCGGCGCCATTACACCACTTTTCTGGATGTTCGAAGAACGCGAGAAGCTATACGAGTTCTGTGAGCGCGCCTCAGGTGCACGCATGCACGCCGCTTACATACGACCGGGCGGCGTTGCCTTCGATTTACCGCTTGGCTTCTGTGATGATCTATTCGACTTTATTTGTCGCTTCAAACACCGCATCGATGAGTTCGAAGATGTCATTACTGATAACCGTATTTGGCGCACGCGCAACATCGGCATCGGACGCATTACGGCGCATGACGCTTTGAATTATGGCTGCTCGGGTGCAGTGTTGCGTGCCACTGGTGTAAAGTGGGATCTACGCAAGACGCAGCCATATGATGCGTACTCAGAGGTTGAATTTGATGTGCCTGTGGGCAGTAACGGCGACTGCTATGATCGTTACTTGTGTCGCATACGCGAGATGCGCGAGGCCTGTGTTATCATCAATCAGTGCTTGAATCAGATGCCAGCGGGCGAGATAAAGGTGGACGACTACAAGGTGTGTCCGCCGCGCAGACGCGTTATGAAGCGAGGCATGGAGGAGCTGATACACCACTTCAAGTATTATACGCAGGGGTTTGCAGTGCCACCTGGCGAGACTTATACAGCCATCGAATCGCCAAAGGGTGAGTTCGGTGTTTATCTGGTGTCGGATGGGTCGTCGAGGCCGTATCGCTGCAAGATTCGAGCAGCAAGCTATCCACATTTGGCGCTAATGAATAAGCTGACTTTCAAGCACTTATTGGCCGATGCGGTGGCCATTATTGGTTCATTGGATATAGTATTTGGCGAAATCGATCGTTAAGAAGAGATGGAAGAAAGCTGAGCAACTTGTCAGGTGCTGAGAATTGAAGGTAAAAGAATTGAATTAAAAAAAAAAAAAAACGCAGAAGAATCATTGAATAAAATAGAGAGCGTTTTGCAAATCTTTCTTGGTTATTAGATGAAATATTTAATACTGAAACTTTTTCAAATGGGTGCCCCATACGTCAATGCAAACATCTTTTTGGATGGACTTTTCATGAAATCATCCCACGGTAAATCAAAGCTAGTCTGTCTCTGAGAGATAGGACGTATTTGAGAGGTTTCTTTAAACTGGTGATAAGCACCGCTTCTCCTGCGCTCACCGATGTCCAGAGAGCTTTTACTCGGCACATGCCATTAAGAGTTGTATGCTCAGCTTTAAGCCACTTTTTACACGTTTACAGCATAGAAGCTCTCTTTGTCATTACTGCTTTAAACCGGTCACGACCAAAAAGAGGCTTTACTCTGTTTGTGTAGATCAGTGGTGCTCAGAGAGAGCTTTTACTGTCTGCAAGCCCTTATAAAATCTACAGAGGCCGCGGGCGCTGTTTTGAACATCACTGGCGATAGAAAGTTTTTTAAAAGCAATGACCAGAGAGAGCTTTTATTTACTCTACGCTTCCATAAAATACCTCTAGAAAGTTGTGAAGTGCCTTTTCGCCAGATACGTCATTGTCATGACAGATATGGCCGTTCACAACATAAAAGCTCTCTTTGCCTACTGCTGCTTTAAACCAGCGCTGATTATGGAGTAAATATAATCATTCATATAAAATAATTAGAAAGCTCTAAAAAGTCAGTGACGAGCAGAGAGAGCGAGAGAGCTACTTTCTATTTATATGAAAAATCAACGACCAGAGATAGCTTTTACTCTGTGCGCTCCACTTATTTCGAACAATTTTTCCACCAACTGCAGATGAGCTTAAAGTTCAGTTCAAACTAGCAGCTTTAACACGTGAAGGCAAAATGTAAATGTCCTCACAAGAAAATCCCATATTTCATTAATGCATTGAGGTGATTACTCAAAAAAAGCAAGCAAAAAAAAAATAACACCGAAATTAAAAATGCTTCAAATTTCACGCTGATTGCGCCATTTATCAACGGGAACTTTAGCTGTTTTTCAAAGTACATAATTACGCCAACATTCAACAATGTGTGGCAACACACAGAGCACCAGCCACAATTAACTGCCGCTTGTTAATTACTGCTTAATTAATTAAGAGTTAAATGGCTTAATGAGATTACTACAAGTGCACCAAGTAGAAACACAACTACGCACGCACGCACACGCACGCACACGCACCTGAGCGCTGAAAGCTAGATTGTCGTTTGTGCGAAAAATGAAAATGTAATTAAACGTAAAAACAAAAGTATTAACGCAAACAATTTTTCACAAAAAAAAAAAAAAAAATTGCGAATGCAAAAATTACCACCCGGCAAGAAGAGACATTTTCACTAACAACGCATTAAACGAATGTACATACCTATAAGCTAACGGCGTTTAAATGCCGCTATACATTTACATAAAATTAACTTTTTTGCAATTTTTTTTCAAATGATCTTTCCGCCCGCGTAAAATCCGATTTAACGTTATGATTTCAATTGCAAAAAAAAGAAAATGAATTTTATTGCTGAAAATATGAAATTCAACAATTTTATTGAGCTTGAGGCCGTTTTTAAATGAGAAAATGTTGTCGAAAAACTACAATAATCTACAAAGGTAGAAGTTATAGCTGCTTTTTCGGAGATCCCCACATCTCCTCATCGGACTTCTTCATCGATTTCAGTGGGACTTCTATCTTTGTAAATTATTGTTGTTTTCCCACAACATTTTCTCATTTGAAAACGGCCTCAAGCTCAATAAAATTGTTGAACAGAATTGTTATAAGGTCATAAATAGCAAATAACCAAAAATATTAAAAGAAATGGTAAATGTGTCGAATTTTAACTAAATAGGCCATTTCAGTAAAAAAACGACTTACGTTTAAATTAAGTTTTTTAAACCTCTTCAAAATTGTTTTTGTACATAAAATTTCGATCGAATTACAATTTAAAATAGAATTTAACTTATTGAGTTGGCGACAGTCCTCTTCAAAGGATATGTCAATACAGGCTCTAAACTTCTATAACACCGACGCTAAATCGAATTGTTAATTTCCCTCTTTTAAACACTAATTAAGTAAGTATGCGCACCTGCGAAATTACGCGCCTGGAGAATGAATGTACATATGTTTTTGACAAAACGTAAAGTAAATTTAAAACAGAAAAGTGCAAGTTCACACAAAACTTAATTTATTATCGCATGCCTACAAACATGTTTAAATGTGCAGTATGTACTCCAATGTGTGTAAGGCGACAAATGCAATTACCTCAATTAAAACGAATACTTATGTTCATTTGTGAAATTATTTTATAATAAAGAGAATTTATAGTCGCCAACACAATTAAGGAAGGCTGCCAGGTGTTTCGAATGCGAATGCGAATGCGGCCAAAGGTGAGTAATGTACTAACTAATGAAGCAATGAAACAGAGCGTTGTGCGAGTGTGTGTGTGTGTAGGAAAGTGTTAAGGCACTTCTACACATGTATACCCTGTAGCAAAAAGCTAAACCAGTCAGTAAAAATACCAGTTCATTAACTAGTATAAGCTCAAGCGATGGCCTACCAGCGCCGAATTATCTCGGCTGTGAATTATCTTGAAAGTGTGTAAATTTACACATAATTAACGTTTACCACCTATTTCAGTCGCTCACAAGCTGTGCCATCGGCACGAAGTGGTTGTAAAGTTCAAGTGTAGTCTCCGTGTCAGTTGTTTTCCCTTTGAAAATAATTTGATGCTCCTACTGACTTCCGTCAGTTTTCATATGAAATTCAAATAAAAAAATCATTTTTACAGCCGGTTTCACCAGCAATTTAAAGGGAAAATGATTTTTAATTTTCTATTAATTTCCATATAAAATTCAAAAAATTAAAATCATTTTTAACTTAAAGTGCTTTCGTGAAATTTGCTGTTAGTGCCGTTTTCTTAGGTAGCTTTTAAAGTTTATTTGCCCCTCAAATAAATTTTTTTAGAATAAAATTTGTGTTTAAAGGACAGATAAATTTTAAAACTAACTTGAGAAAACGGCCGTTGGTTTATTTCCATTCTTTCTATTTTCAGATTGACAAAGAAATAAATGTTTTTTTATAAATATCGGTT